GCACACAGCATTTTTTAGAAAGAGAAAAGACGGCTAGTAAATAAGAATGGGAACGCCTCAGCAGCATTTAGTTTAGATGGAACGTCCTCCTTTATTGTAAACTGCATTTTGGTCATCGTGACTTTTCCTGGACATTTGAGCTCCTCTTTGCAAAATGATGACAGAAGGTGGCGCTTTCCACATTAGTGTGCTGAAAGTTAAAACATTTGTAAGTGTTTTAATGCACGTGCGAGGAGGATGTGAGGCATCAAACCTACTTTACAGCCATTTCTGGTCTTTACTTGAAGCCTGCATTGAACATCCATTCAGAATGGACTTTCTCTGAAGTACGCTGCATTCTTGTTTCAAGTAATTAAACTTAAATATGGTGTAAAGTATTGTACTAAACTATACAATAAGAAAGGAGACGATGTCATTTTATAAATAATTCATCAGGCAACACAGTTTTACAGAAAAAAATATCATTGAAAGCAAAATATTTTTGTGTTTTTGAATATACGTGGAGAGAATCTTTAGGTTTATGAGACGTAGAGCGTGTTAAACTTCCAAAGTTTGTAATTCAGCGTTTGAGAGATCCAGGTATGTAAAAGGCCTGTTGTGACTCGTAATGAGCGAGGATCAAAGTGTCAACTCCCTCGCAAAAAATATTGTTAAACTGAACCACTTTATGTCAAAGTAATGAGTGCAGATGATAATTACCTTCTGAATGACAACTCTCTATTCAAAGATCCCTTCACAGCACTTCTTTTTTATGGTTTGTTTATTATGTGATTACAGTTTTTTTTAATTTAGCAAAACTGAATGGATTGAGTACATGAAGCAAAACAAAGAAAAGGACCTCATATGAATCTGTGTGTGAACTCAAGACTGCACAATGTGTCGCTTTTGTTGTTTTTTTTTCTTGTCACATTTGTCCCCACCGGTTCACGTCCCGGTGGGGGCACCGGAATCTTTCTACGTGGAGTCTCCATGTTCTCCCCGTGCAGCGTGGGTTCTCTCCGGGTTCTCCAGCTTCCTCCCACACAGTCCAAAAACATGTTGAGGTTAACTGGTGATTCTAAATTGTCTGTAGGTGTGAATGTGAGTGTGCTTGGTTGTCTGTCTCTAAGTGTAGCCCTGTGATAGACTGGTGACCTGTCCAGGGTGTCCCCTGCCTTCACCCTGAGTCAGCTGGGATAGACTCCAGCCCCCCATGACCCTAGTGAGGATTAAGCGGTGTATAGATAATGGATGGATGGACATTTGTTCCCAGAGTGCTGCATGTTTATGGAACAAAACTTGACATATTCCTGCCAGATGGAGACACCAAAGTGTTTTTGTTTTGTACCTTCACGACTCCCGTACTCTGACGTTTTGTTCTGTAAATCTCACAATTCGCACTCCAGTTTAAGAAGCAAAGACTCATCTGTCCTGTCTGTGTTTCAGGAGCTGCAAAGGCTTCATGCACATGAAGTTCACCCAGTCTGCAGACGGGCGCTACGTGCTCGGGGAGAACAGCCCTCCCTTCTCCACCATCCCAGAGGTCATCCACTACTACACCACACACAAGCTGCCCATCAGAGGAGCCGAGCACATGTCCCTGCTGTACCCCGTCATCGTGCAGACCCTCTGACACTGACGCACACATACTGTTTCTCCTGGTGCTACTGAATACCATATATACTCAGTATTTACCTACTTCTGCCTCTTTCCTACATGCTTTTTCACTGCCATTCTACCTGCACTGCGTACAAGAGATTTGAACTGTTTGGTGCCGTCTTTCCCCCTTTTCCCTTCTCCCCCCCCGTAATCCCAGTAACTACACTGGCAGCTTAACAAGAGAGCTCAGTGCCTCATGAACATGCGCCTGTGAAATGGTATCATCACTGAATCATCTTAATGCCATGGACTCTTGAAAATCAGCCATCATTGATAATAAGATTGGTAGCTAAGTACTTTTAGGTCAAAGAGAAAAGGACAAACTTTAGTCTTGAGGTGTTTTGAGAAAGTAGAATTTATATAATATTGCATGGAGATTTGTCTCTATTACTGTCATAAGGTAGCGTGTGCTACCAAGTCACTTAAAGGATAATAATCGTAGAGGTTTGAGAGGACACAGCAGCTATTTTCATGCGAATTTTATGTTTTAAACCAGAAAAAAATATCAAACAAAAGGTTGAGCGTTAGGGTTTAAACTAGATGTAGGGGATTGAAAATGCGTTTTAAGCTGTACTGTGACTACAAACAACGCTTTTATTATCCTTTAAGTGTGACTACATGAACCAAACACTACATATTTAACCCTGGCTGCAGGGCTTCTCCTCTCTGTGTGTTCCAGAGGCCTGTGAATGTTATATGATGCTGTGCCCTCGCAGTGTTCTCAGTTCATCATGTTAATGTGTGAACAATACAACGCGACGGTTTCATGTCAGGACAGACACGACTCGTTAGCGTCACACAGCAACAGACTCCTGCAATATTAGTTTAGAGAGTAATAACTACAGTATTATACTGAAAGCTTGTGGCTTTGTGATTATGACTATTAAAGAAGCTTTGGTAGTTTATTTACTGTGCTGTTTTATAAGATTTTAAATGTCTGTTGAAAATAAAGGTGTTGTCTGTTTTCAAACCGTCTGTGTGTAGTTTGGTTTTGTAATCGATGGTGCATGTTGGGTTTGCATGAGGTGGGTGAAGGTGGAGTTGAACTGAACGTGCCTGTCTTGCATTCTTGGTTATTTTGGTTTGGGGTCAGTGATGTCATGATTAACTCCTACATAATAACCAGGTAGTAGATGGGAAATGAGTTTTGAATGAGAGACAAGCTCGACAGTCACAGAAAGCTTTTGTCGACTGCAAATGATTGCAACCTACTGTAATTGAACCCTTTTATCTTACTGATGGAAAGGATCTTGTTTTATATACTGACAGTGATGAGTACTTTTTTTTTTTTTACACCTTTTACATGAGTTTAGATTTTAAGTTGACTTTGAGGGGACTAATATGAAGCAGGAATTTATTTCTGTGGCTGAATGATTCAATGTACCTGTATGTGGACAGGGCTGCAGGGTGGTGCAGTTGGTAGCACTGTTGCCTCGCAGCAAGAAGGTTGCCGGTTCGCGTGGAGTTTGCATGTTCTCCCCGTGCAGCGTGGGTTCTCTCTGGGTTCTCCGGCTTCCTCCCACACAGTCCAAAAACATGTTGAGGTTAATTGGTGATTCTAAATTGTCCGTAGGTGTGAATGTGAGTGTGCTTGGTTGTCTGTCTCTAAGTGTAGCCCTGTGATAGACTGGTGACCTGTCCAGGATGTCCCCTGCCTTCGCCCTAAGTCAGCTGGGATAGACTCCAGCCCCCCATGACCCTAGTGAGGATTAAGTGGTGTATAGATAATGGATGGATGTATGTATGTGGACAGGTTAGATTATAGTAAAGTGTTGTGTCTTTGTTGTTGTGCTCGTTTGCTTTCTTTCATTGCTTCTACATAGTACACCCAGGCATTATACCATTCTATAAATACAAATAGGTTGAAAATCTGGATTAAAACTTCACCTGTTGTTGCTTTAAGACTAATCTCTGAATGTCAACCAGGTGAGAGAGACTCCACTCTGCCTCTTTTTCTGCAAACTGTACAGTGTACGAGTTTCTTTGTTCCAGGATCACATCTATAACACAAGAGAGGAGACCTTTCAACATAACGTGCATGTGTCTCATCTGGTCTTATAGTTATTTAGTCTTTAAGAATATGCATAAGAGCAGTAGGATGGAGGACTCGGGCATCTCGCCTCGTCCCGCACACAGACGATCTTTGGTTGTGTTGTCACCTGATACCATAGCAACCAGCAGGTGTCGGTGTCACCAAAGAGAAGAAGCCACTGCAGGTGCAGGACAGGTAAGAACTGTAGCGCTGAGCTGACCAAAACAAGCAGGTTTATATTGAAAGCATATGATCAGCCATTCACGTGTTCTGCTTTAAAGGATTACGCATGTGATGAGTTCTTGACTAAATGAAGTGTTTTGTTGTTTCTGCTATTCATATGAGAATAATGGTTTGAAAGGGGTGTAATGTATTTTGGCTTGTTGAACCAATGAGGAAATAAGTGATAGAAAAGTAGTGAAAATTAGTTTTTGTCAGACCAAAAATCTAGTTTCCAGAAATATCCAGGTGATAGTGATATCAAATAAAAAACGAAAGGAGCAAGTCTTCCAATTTTAACAACATCCGACCAGAGAATGATCAAACCTTCAGCATGATAAACAACAAACACACCATAAGTCATAGAAATAAACAATAGCTGTCGTCTGATGTGGATTTTTGGGGAAAAATTAGGCACACTTAAGTCCAATTCCAATTTATGTTCATGCTAGCTTCCAATCTAGCTGCGATATCAAAAATTCATTTTTCAATTCTAATGTTCAAGATGTGGGGCTGCAGGGTGGTGCAGTTGGTAGCACTGTTGCCTCGCAGCAAGAAGGTCGCCGGTTCGCGTCCCGGTGGGGGCACTGGAATCTTTCTGCGTGGAGTTTGCATGTTCTCCCCGTGCAGCGTGGGTTCTCTCCGGGTTCTCCGGCTTCCTCCCACACAGTCCAAAAACATGTTGAGGTTAATTGGTGATTCTAAATTGTCCGTAGGTGTGAATGTGAGTGTGCTTGGTTGTCTGTCTCTAATAGTAGCCCTGTGATAGACTGGTGACCTGTCCAGGTGTCTCCTGCCTTCACCCTGAGTCAGCTGGGATAGACTCCAGCCCCCCATGACCCTGGTGAGGATTAAGTGGTGTATAGATGGATGTTCAAGATGTCCAACTCTGCACAGTGAGGGTTAAACAAGTATTTCAGTTTTAGCGTAAACAGCTGCTTTACAACTTAAGCATCTCATCAACAGGCTTCTAACAGATGTGACATTAGAACCCACATCATCTACAAACACAGTGTCCACAGTGATATGAAAGTAAGCTGTTATGTTTGTTTCTGTAATCATTTTTGCAATATCAGGACAGTTTGTTCTCCCATTAGCGTCCCCTGTTTCCATGGCAACTCGCACGCAGCAGCTCGCTCAACCCAAACCCAACCGACTCAGACATCCGGACCGGTAGGCCCGAGTGTCGCCCCACACCGATACGTCTCTGTTTTTATGTCCCCGTGTCCCTTTAAATGGGAATCTCTTCTGTTTTCCAGTCGGTCTGTTTACTGGCTGGATGAGCTGCCACCAGAGAGGACTGGATCCACCAAAACAGGTACATCCTTGAGTTTCTTTCCTTCTTTGTTTTCAATTTACAAAACAACTCTCTATTGTGTTTTTCTAATACTTAACAAACCGATTTTTTCTTCCCAACAGAGTTAACCCCTCGCTGGTCGGACTTGTGCAGAAGCAAAAAATTCTACATTCAAGACACGTAAATCTAATAAATCGACTCTTTTTTTGTCTTTTCTTTGATGCTCTGTCTTTGTATGAGTTGTACATATGATTCACTTCTTTAGCTCCTCCTCATCCTGTCACTGACATTTTGCATTTGACGTCTTACCAAAGCAAGAAATTCGTCTTAAATCAACAGAAAAACCGACTCATTAAAGGCTTCCTGTTGAGTTTTGATCTGACTGCTAGCAGCGCTTAAGAGCACTGTTTCATTAGGCAGGACCGGTTTTGTTACTTGAGTCATGTGTTTCTCATTCCTGCCGATGGTTTTACATTATTAACCTGATGTTTAGATTGAAAAAAATAAAGTGCACAGATGTCTAAGGACGGAGAAACTTTCAACATGTCAGTGTAAACAAAGGAAAACTCCACAGGGAACCCCAAAGATTTTTCCTCCACTCATGTCCTACTTGTCACATTTCTTTTTAACCTATACGTGTAGTTCTACCTACATGCCATCCTGCCTTCTTCCTTCCTCCTTCCTCTGCCTTCATCTTGCGCTGTGGTTAATTTTTAATCTCCTTCTTACATCTAAAAGCACCTATTAACGATATTGTTTTCTCTCTCTCCCCTCTCTATATTTGTTTCCCTCCTCAGGGTTTCCCCCATATGGGATGTGAGTGAATGGGCTCTCCGGGCCGTTCCATCCGAACGCCTGCGCCGTCTGGCTCAACCTCGGGCCCCTGCAGCTGGCTGGCAGCCAGACCGACCACTTCTGCTGCCTGTGAGCAACACACAGCGTTTCCTGACAAACTGCTGAACATGTGGTAGATCATGAAAAGGCTGCTAGTGTTCAAAGATCTTTAAAAAAAAAAAACAAGCCAGGGTGTCAGAAACCTGAGCTTAAAGTCTAGTTGTTGTTTTTTTTTTGTGCACCCTTTTTGTCACTAGCCTCTATTTACAGATCCTATTGTTGTTTCGTTGGTTTTGTATGTCCCTGAAAGCAGCTGTTGGTTAGTTTTTAATTCATCCATCCATGTGCACCCACTTTATTTTGTAACGGGACATGGTGGGAAGCTGGAGCCAACACAAAGAGATCCTCACACATACACTCATACTTACAGCCACGTTAGAATCACCACGTAAACTGCTATGGATGTCTTTGGAATGAGGAAGCCAAAGAAACAGGAAAAAGCAAGAACTTAAAGGTTTTACATTCACCTCTGGATACCTGTCCAAACCTCAACTTCAGGGAAAGTTTAAGAAAACAGAAGCTATTAGAACACCTGAAATATGAGTCTGGTAAGTTGTGACACACTTGCATGTGATAAACTAACAAAATGTAATATACGTAAGTGACAGTCTCGCTCTCAGAGGTATCGGCACTCAAACCTGTTCAGCAACACAAAGGACACACATGACGTCTACAGTCTTGTTTCTGTAAAGTCGGTGTACTGATACACTCACAAGCTGATAATTATCTTGTTCAACTTTCCACCACCTTGACTAAGCATAGTGACATTTACTAAACACGCAGGTCCACCAGTGAAATGCTTCTGAGATAAAAGTAGTGAAACTTTGGCTAATTTGGGTCACTGATAAAGAAAAAGTGTTGTGAGAACAGCAGTCAAACGGGACAGTCATTAGTTTTGGAGGTATTTGGTCATAAACCAAAGTACTGGACACCTGAATGTGATCTAAGTCACTAAAGTACAAAACATTTACCATGAGGAAATATGAACGCCTACAACAAACACCATGTCAGTCCGTCCAGGAGCTGTTAAGAGGTTTCATTTAAAGCCGCACAATGAATCATCCTGGCTGTAGCAGCAGACGTCTGGGAACTATAATTGCCATCAGATTTCATCAGACCTGTGGCATGATGTGGCCAAAAATGGGAGACTAAGTAAAATGAATCCAAGTTTTATTTGTGTGATTGATGTCAAACTGAAACTGTTTGTGTTTATTATGATCTCATTCATAACCTGAATGTGATTATAGTTGAGCCGAGGGACGCAAACAGCAGTCGCCACTTCACGCATTTGCCAGCTTTCCCAGCCAAAGAGAAAGCAAATTCTTGAGGCCTCCAGCCACAAATCTAAACCTGTACCTGTGACCCACCTGCCCTCCAGAGCGTCCGCACACATAGAGCTACTGGCCAGTAAGTCCGTCTTCCCAGAATGCAATGTTTTGATCACATTACTTGCTGTTCAACACGATTGCTTTTTGTCCTTCCAGCCCCGAAGCACGAGCACCCCAAGTTTAAAGGAGAGCGCTCGGTGTACTGGCCTGTTTCCAAAGCAGCGAGAAACCACATAGCCGGCCAGAGACTTCTCGATCTGTCCGGTCCCAAAGAGAGGACGGCTCTGTATGAGGGCTACGACCCGTATGTCGTCAGCCAGGCCGCCCGCTCTGCCAGCCCCTCTCCTCGGATACAGCAGCTCTGCCTGCCGCTGCCTCGCAAATGTAGAAAAGTAGAATGAATGACGGCAGAGACGTCTGTCCCCTTGAAGGGTCGATTGTTTTTATTTTCCCCCACCCAAGAGTGTCCTGATGAAGGATTTTATATGTTGTCCTGATGAAGGCCTGGTGTTTGTTCTGTGCTCTGGTAACAGCATCCTTTATGACAGTTAGTGTAGAAAAAAAACAAACTTTAAAAATGTTAAAACAAACAAATCTGTTAAAATGTTGGAATACTGTGACATCCAAAAACTAAAAAACTGAAAACAATGGCAAAGATTTGTAAAATGATTATATTTTTAGCTGATTGAAATGCAGTAAACTGGATGATTTTATGTTCACATATTGTAAAGATTTAACTTTTGGTAAAAATACAGATTTTTAATGTGTACATTATCTACAGTTTTGTTCTGTTTATTTACAGTTATAATGCAAATTAATATATTTTTTCCCATGATTTTTTTCTTCTTCAGATATTAACTGCAGTTTAATCCAACAGGGAAAGTCTATAAAAATTGCTTATTTATTAAATCATTTTTCAACCCTTGAAATACAGAATTTTTCTAACAAATAAAGATATCTACAGAATAAAAGTTTTGTGCTAATTTAAATAACTTAAAATGGTGTAATTTTACAGTCAAATGGTACAAAGAACAAATAATCATTTAAAGAAATATAGATTTTTAAAGTGTGGGCGTTACCTACAGTTTTTGCTTGTTTTGTTTGTTTGTTTGTTTTTTAGTTTTTTATAATTGTTGTGTAAATTAATACTTTTTTCTGTAATTTTGCAAGTTTTAATTTAACAAAATCACAATTTAACAAAACAGGGAAAATCTGTACAATAATATTTAAAAACAATTATTTTACATTTTTTACTTCCAAATATACAGAAATTTTCTTTTAAATGAGGGCAAATATCTGCAAAATAATTATATTTGCTGATTTAAATACAGTTTTTAAAAAATGGTGGTATTTTACAGTGCAGTGTTTTAAAAGAACATATTACCATTTACAGCAATATTGATTTTTTTTAACGTGGAAGGTTTTGTTTTTTTTTGGTTTTTTTTTTAACAGTTTCGAGCCGTTTTATTTTTAATTTAGTTTTTTTTGTTGTTTTTTTTTTACAATTATAATGTAAATTGATATTTTTTCTGTCATTTTGCCAGATATTATTAGTAATTGAACAAAACAGAAAATCTGTAAAATAACAGCAAATAGTCAAAAACTGTTTCAAAGCGTTCATTTTTACAGTGTTTACTCGTCGCCCTGGATTTATTGCACTAATAAAAAACTACACTTTCTTCTTCTGACCCTTTAACTTATAAGCAAGACAACAAACAACATCTCACCGGTTGGATCGCCTCATAAATGAATTACAGGCCTGCCTATGTTTATAATTCCTTTTTAATAGCCACCAATGTGATCATATGTGCCTTCAGTAACAGTGAATGAGAAAACGTGCTTAATCACCTGAACATCATTAGAATATAAATGAAAGCAAAGAGCCTGAGAGGTATTTCTAATTGCTTGGAGGCTGCTGCAGCTCGCATCCTGCAGTTCGCACATCCTTCACTTCTTGATGCTTTGCTGGTTATTAACACAAGACAGTGAGGGGGTGAGTCAGCTTTGCAGATGAAAACATTATTTATACAAATGAACAACAAGAAGAAGAAAAGCAAACAAGTCACATGAAGGATGTTTATTCATTATGAGATCAATAAAACCGCGTTGAATCATTTGGAGACGCAAAAAAGTGAAACCTACTTCCTTTTTTTATGGCTTGGAGGCGGGTTAAAGAGAAATCAGGGGACCTATAGGAGACCGTCTACGGGACCTCGAACCTCAGTTTTGGCACCGGAGGGCAATGACACACAGCAGGGCGGTCCAGATGTGTTCGTCGTAGTGGAGAGGCTGCCGGGTTTTGCGCAATCGCGGCGCATGAAGTCGGTGAGACGCGCTCAGCTCTGTCCGGTGAGTACACGTTTGGATTATCACTGAAACATCTTCTAGACACGCGTTTCATTCACTGCTGCGGGTTTTTCAAATTGAATAATAATCTAGATTGTTGTTTTTTTGCCCCCACGAGGCTTGAAAACACTGTAACGCTGGCGATAGGATGAAAATTCCACTTGTTTATTTCAGTGATTGTCATGTTGTTGGTGGTGTTTAATGGATTCATGTTTATTCATTCAGCTACAGTTAGTTCATTCACAGACAAATCATTGAACTCAGGATAGCCAGGTGCACAGTATTTAACACATTTGTGCAGATTGCCTGAGCACTAAGTCACAAAGTTCTTAGTTTTCACTTTCTATAGCTGCTTCTGTGAAACATTCATGAAGTGCAAACAGTCTGGAGTTGTGGCAAGTGTGCAGTTTGTAGGATAGTCAGGCAGGACATTCAGGATGATCGCAAGCAATACTGTAGTGTTATTTCTGATGTGTAGGCTTTATGAGTTTGGTATGTGTGGTATCCTTGCTTACACTGTAATTAACATAAATTGTGTAAAATTTAGATAAAACACATTTTTTGTGATCATCATATGAGCTACAGTCTTCAAAACATGTCCCTCATGACTGAAATCAAGTCATTTTATTGCGTCAGTGACATTTCAGCGACAGTGGAAGAGCTGCAATCCCCTTTTTGCCGAGTGGAAAACTGCATCACATGAGTTGATTTGCTCTTTCAACTGGTCAGAACAGCTGGACCAGCTCAAATCCGGAGCACAGAGCAGGTAAAAATAATGCAAATGCTCCTGTAGACGGCACAGACTTTTGGCAGACGGTAATGTTTTGTTGGCACAACACCGGTTCCAGACGACGTGCTGCCTGTCACTCACCTCCTCGTTCCCACGTTTCCTGTCGGTCTCCACTCTTTCTATAAAATCAAGTCATCAAAACGCCTCTCTAGTGACTTCTGATGTGACATTTTTCCTAAAGGATCCAGTGGTTTGCTGATATCAGTTTTAAATCTTAATTGACCAGAATTTTTTTTATATTTTTAAAAAAAATTTTGTTACAATTTTTCTTGATTTTCAAAACCAAATAAATACAGAAAATTATCAAGAACAATGGGGGCAAAGTAGAGCCATAGAATTCAGCAGTTTGATGTAAAATGCTCCGGTGTAAAACTGGAGTGTCTGACCATGACAGTGAGCGCATCCCTGCACGTATCACTTCAGTGTCACACAACTGAATCACAATGAGCAGTTTCTCAATAAACGCATCATTTCTAAGTTGAACAGTAGAGAATTTCCTCTTATGAGCACCAAAAAGAACTGCTTTAATACTGAAAACAGGTCCTAAAGTTTAAACACACTGCAACAAAAGTGAGTTAAGCTGTTATCACTGATGTACAAGTTAGAAAACCTGTCATCATTCAAACACGATTCACTAAAGTTGTTATCGTCAGTCGGCTTAATTGCAATAACGCGGCTGTAAAGTTGCCGACGGACATCAGAACTTGCTCAGTTTTATATGTTTGTCTTCATGTTTGCATCTTGACTCCACGTGGAGAAGAATTCCAAGACAAAGTGAAAAAATCTGATCATGAGACTTCACAGCAGGCTTCAGATTTGGCACAAGAGTGATCGGTGCTTAGACGCTGAGGAGGAAATGTAAAGACAGCATCCAAGAACAAAGCCTCCATCCTCTCTGCCATATCATTAAACTTTGCTAAAACTGTATGAAAAGACGCCTGATGGATATGAGGAGCACGTTCTTTGGTCAGATGAGACCAAGATAAATGTGTTTGGGGGCTCAGGGGGACGAGCGCCGTGAACCGTGGAGGTGGGATGATGTAGAAGGTGTGGGGGTGGTGTTTGTAAATCGCACCATTAAACAATGTGAAGACCATAAATGCTGGCTGCCAAGATGTCTCCCAGCTTCCAGACATGAGCAACACTACCAAGATTACACAAGAGTTTCTAAAGAAGTACAAAGTGAAACCACAGAACTGGGCCAAGTACGTAACCACACTTGGCTTTCACAAAACACCTTTTAGGTGTTGCACCGAAAGAGAAAGGCAGAATGATGCAAACGCCCTGCAGCAGAGAACTGCTCTAAAAGTTGTGTCTGAGTAAATGCAGCACACCTCTCTGGAAATTAGGCAACAGCGGTTTTCATCAATACAACAGAAGATTGTGCCAGTGTGAGGATTGGAATCTCAGCGCTGGAAGGTGTACTGACTCTGTCTGTACAAGTAGCGCACTCCCTGGAAAGCAAGGGGGGCGAAACACGGGGCCCCAAGGGCACAAACCCGCAACGTTTAAAAGGTGCCCCCCTCCAAAAAAACCGAATCAAAAGAACAAGAACCGTAACCCGCCTCCGCAACACCTGAAGAAGAACCGAACAATTGAAACAAGGGGGGTGGAAAAAAGGAAACATCTAAAACATGCAGGATTGTGACCCTCGAGGACCAGAGTTCGACACCCCTGCTGTAAGGGGATGAAACTTTGGATGTTGTGTGCTGCAGCTCTGTAGGTGTTGATGAGCTCCGCCTACACAACTGAATGTAATCCAAATTGCAATGATGATACTCAGCTTGTAAAATCCGACCTATCGCTGGAGAAGAAAGCTACCAAGAGTGTAAGAGAGTTCATCGCTTCAGCCAGCTGTCACATTAAAATACCGACGCATCAGTAAGAATAAACCAGTAATGTGAAGTAACAATCTGACTGGCTGGCTGTTCCAGTTTCTAGGGATTCCTTTTTTATTTTCAAACTTGAACTACATTTTTCTACTTATGTGAAGTGACTGATGGACGCAGGTCTCCTTAGTGAGGTTTCTACTTTTACTTAAATATATTTGTGATGCTTCTAGTGTTGAGTTTTGTTGTCATTGCTAACTGGTGGGTGCATAACATTTCCTTGTCATAACTGTCATTTAATTCATTTCAAAAACAGTTATCAGGTCCTCCTATGCAGCATTTTTTTAGCCATATATTAACTATAGGATGATACAACCAGCTGTCTCCAAAATGACTTGAATCTTTTACTTGGGATCGCCACAATCTGAATATTGTGCCTTTATTGCAGAGCTTCTGTTTTAGAGTTTACATGCAGGCGTGCCTCATACTACTCCTGTGTCACACCTTGGTTTTAAATTAAAAGTAAATCTGCTTCATGTTCGTGTCACCGACACATTGAGCTCCTCCCACAGCCTGGTCAGGTTTATACTTTATCAGCAAAAAGTCACAGCTGAGGGACAAGTTCCAGCCAAATACACCCAATTACGTAGGCAAACCCACTTTAGGAAATCGTACGATTTCAAACTGTTACGTTTTGTGTTGATTGGTACACTTCCTATGTTGCAATGCCCGGCAGACGACCGTGTGAACACCGCCCCGGGGCTCCAATGTGGCAGTCAGACTTGTTTTCCTATTTTGGAATCCACTTCTAAGAAATGCGTCGTTATAATCATTAAATTAGTCACTTTTCTGTGCTGATTCTTCACAAATCTCATTCACATTTCACAGTGCAGCTTGCAGAGTCCTCGTGCTGAGCTGCTGCTGATGGGAGCGCGTGAGTGACAGACCGGCTGAGTTGGTGTTCATGGAGTGGAGTCCAGCTGTGGTGTGCCTGATCGGGGCCGGACTCTTCCTCGGTAACCTTCATCATCTTCTTGCTTTTAACCCTTTTATGGGACAAGTGACCATATTTGGTAACCTCCTTGGACGTTCAGTATGTCCACCCTGTGCCTCTGCTTGAGGTTGAAGAACCATGTGCACTTTGATTTAGTTTTTATATTAGTGCTAATATCAATGCCTCATGAAAAATGTCACTAAACAAATGTTCCAGGCACTTTATAAACGCTTTGTTACTGGTTTGCATTAAACTCCACTTTGATTTATTTTTTGAGATTAGTGCCACAAATACCACCACCCCAAGAAAAATATCACTAAATGAACTTACCAAGTACTTATAAATACTTTGTTACTGGTTGTGTATCATTACCTCAAACTAAAATGTTTCTAAATAAATGTTTTTTGCAGTTTTTTTACTTTTTCTTTATTTATGATAAATTCCCATTTTTAACTGTAGACGAGCAAGTACAGAGCCCTGGAAGGGACATGGAGACAGAAAAAAAACAGGGAGAGGAAAAAACAAGAAAAGAGGTATTTTTTGTGAGGTCTCGCAAAACTTTCTTGGGATCTTGCAATAACTTCTGCGAGATCTTGCAAAACTCTTGGTAACTCCAGTCCGATAGGTGGTGGTAATGCACCTGAACGTTGGATGCCAACCGCCAAATCAATAGAAGAAGAAGAAGAAGAAGAAGAAGAAGAAGAAGAAGAAGAAGAAGAAGAAGAAGAAGAAGAAGAAGAAAACTATAGGTATATATACTTCTGGGTCTTTCTGGCAGTATGGAGAAACGACAATGGGAGACACCCACCTGTACCAGAGTTTTATTGAGTTTTATTTTGAAATCAGCCTAAATATAAAAACATTTAAGCTGTGCTTAGCAAGAGGCACAGTTTTACAAAACATCTAATAAGATTCATGTGACTTTGCAAGATCCCAAGAAAGTTTTGCAAGATCTCACAAAAGATACCTACCAAGGTTAATTGTTGATTCTAAATTGTCTGTAGGTGTGAATGTGAGTGTGCTTGGTTGTCTGTCCTGTCCTGTCCTGTCCAGGGTGTCCCCTGCCTTCGTCCTAAGTCGGCTGGGATAGACTCCAGCCCCCCATGACCCTAGTGAGGATTAAGCGGTGTATAGATAATGGATGGATGGATGGATGTTTTTGGACTGTGTGGGAGGAAGCCGGAGAACCCGGAGAGAACCCACGCTGCACGGGGAGAACATGCAAACTCCACCGGGACGCGAACCAGCAACTTTCTTGCTGCAAGGCAACAGTGCTACTAACTACACCACCTTGGAGCCCAATTGCAAATAATATGCAGTAAAATCACTAAACAATGTGTTAATTTACATATTCACTATAAAGAAACTTGGCCAATGCTGCACATAGTATGCACATTAAAAACATATATATTTTTTACAATTTCTAATTTGTTCTTTTACCTTATATGAACTTTAAAATGCATCATTTTACTGTCTTTGACTAAAAAAACATCAATATTTGTCCTTTTTCCTCATAATTTTTACAGTTTCTGTTTTTTACTTTTTCTCACATCCTTGCTGCAAGATTTTCACAGTTTAACTACTGAATTATCAACTTGACATTTTTAATATTTGTGAGGATTTAAACAGTCAGTGCATCTTACTTAGACCCCCGGAAACATGTCTCACAGTTAAATGCCATGTGTGAGATAGAATTGAGTTCAAAGCAGCTATCTTGCACCATCTTGCCTGAGTGCCTGTTGAAGCCTCGAGGGAAATAGGTGTTGTCTTTGTAGATTTTTTGACATGATAGATCATCTACGTCCTCTCAGATATCTTCATTTCAAGATCTAATCTAATGTGTTATTTAAGTTAACAAGATGCAAGTGCTGAAGAAGTTGGTTCATAGAGAAAACGTCTTTTTTTTCCTTACTACCAATTTGTAAGATCTTCTAAAACTGCAGCCTATTAAAAGCATCACAAGTCTTGCATGATGTTTTTTCAAACCACTGCTCGTGTGTTTTTAAAAAAAATGTGTTTTAAAATCTGATCCATGTTTTTTTTTTCTTTCGCCTGAAGATTTAAACAAAACCTCCTCACTTGCTTGAGGACTGAGAACATCTGCTTCTCTGTGCCATTAACGGTAGCTTCTCTCCCATCTCCAGTCCTGCCTCCAGCCTTCTCCACGACGACCACCGAGCCTTTCCCTCGATGGCCGCGGCTGATCGGTTGTGAGTTCATGTATCGAGGCAACGTCACCTGCAGCTGGGAGCCTGGAGACGCTGCAGCAACCAGCTACACTCTGCAGGTTACGAAGACACCCAGGTGAGTTCAAATATGACTTTCTTGACAAAAGAAAAAGATGCATATTGGTTGTTGGCGAGTCTTTACAGAAGCAGGAACTATGTGGAACTGACTCAGGTTTTTTCTGTTTTTCTTACCCAACCCCATCTTTAACATAAAGGAAGTTGTGCCCAGTGTGATTCACTGATAATGTCTGTCATAGTTTTTGGACAGCCGTGGAGTTTAGGTAGCTCAGAGGAATGCAGTCTAAGAGAATCAGACTTTGGCTACCCAGAAAATACTTGTGGTGGTAATATCCTAATCCTTATCCGTTAATATGGCCCCTGTCTTTATGTATATACTGTACATTTTGGAAAAAATTATTATTTAACGTTCCCCACTTACTCAGCCTGGACCAGCTGAGAGACACAGTCAGTGACAAACTGGTAGACGTAGCTGCAAAAGAAAGTCGCCAAGGAGTTGGTGGAGACTAAACACGGAGCTAAAAGAAGCAGGAATATTGAACCTCCATTCACCAGGAGACCACAAACACACCTCCAATTGAGTCATATAGTTGCTTCATGACTTCTGAGTCTTAGTGATGTTGTATTTTAAACTTCTGCCCAGTGACAGAGAAACAAGTTCTGTTATTGCAATTTCAATTTGTGTCATCAGTCAGTTTTACTATCAGTGAGACAGTCTGTAGTTTTTAGAGAGATGATGACAAACATGTTTAATTTCTGATCACTGTAAAATTCAACTTGACAAACAGCTTCAGGCCTTTAGCTGAAAGTTTGCTGAGCAGGAAACAGGCTGATGCTGTCTTCAATGTGGGGTCCTGTCCCTGCACAGCGAGGAGGTTCTGATTCAAACCTGTGGAATTACTTTCTTGTGTGCAGTTCCAGTGTTCTGACTGCGTTCTAGTTTCCTCATGCAGTCAAAGACATGTACGGAAGGTTAACTGAGGAACTTCACCGTTCCCCAAATGTCAGCTGGAATAAACTCCCACGACCCCCTGCAGGATAAATCGAGTTTAGCTAATGAGTGGATGGATGTTTTAGATGTACAGTCATCCTCAGATGTATTCACACCCTCCCATTAAAGAAGGAAAAAAACATCTGTCACTGAAATGAGCTGAAATTGCCAAAAGTAATTATAAAGAAAAAAATTTAATGAAAATCATGACGTTGCTTTTGAATTGTGGTTCAACAGAAATATTTTTTTAAAAAAGAAAACAAGAAAACAAGCATGATGGGACCTGAAAACTAATATCTTGTTGAACAACCCTTTGAGCCAATCACTGCAATCAAGTGTTCTCAATCAGACTTCTGCACCTGTTGACAGGTATTTGGATGTTGGCCCACTGCTCATCAGCAAAGTGCTCTAATTTGTCCAGTTGACAGTTTTATTTTTGTTTTTTTAAATTATTCTTTTTAACCACAATTCAAAAGAAACATCTTAGTTCACTAAAGTATAATTTAGCAATTTTTTATTTATTACTACTTTTTTCAGTTCCTAGTTATTTGAGTGACTATTGTGAATTTTGTCTTTTCTTTAATGGTAAATACATTTGAGAACGACTGTAACTTGACATTTGACACATTTCCTCTAAGTAAGATATTTTATGCTTCAATCACAGTTTTTCCAACATTCCTACCTTCCACTCTTGTTGGTTTCTTTTCAAAATGCAGCTAACTTTTCCTCACTCGTGCCACTCATCACTGATTTTACATTCTGCTCAGTTGGATTTGCCACTGTTGAACGTAAACACACCATTTTGCCTTGAGGTGTGTTTGCAGGTTCGAGCTGGTGTGAGTGTTAGGTAATATTTCAGTGGGCTCTCTGTTTGTGTTTACTATCAGCGTTGAATCTCTCATTCGTGCGACGCCTTGATAGTGGTTTTGGTACGATTAGATGGTGAGAGTCACACAATTTCAACTGCTTCCGTTTTTGTGGGCAACGCTGTCATGCTACTGATGTTTCTGCATGGCGTGTGTGTGACATGCGTGCAAGATATGTGTGCATCGGAAATACTTGCATGACAGAACAGACATCTGATTGCTGTTTCGTGGTGAGATGATTGTTTCTGTTTTTGTGTAGAAATGTTTCTCCGAAGACGTTCACCTGCACCACGCCTGAGACCAGCTGCACCGCGGTACTCGGGAGCTCAACCGTAAGAATGACCTTCTGCATCACCGTCACGGCACACAGTGGAGGCAGAAACATTTCATCACGTCCTCGATGTCAGCCCGGCAGGAAAGAAGGTGAGGCTGTGGTGCTTCCTCTACACATGGCATCATTGTTTATATCTTTCGTCTTCCTCACTCCTCCTCTGAACCTCTTGTCTTTTTTTTTTTTTTAGTAATTTTGCCTCCAGCGATTTTGACCAGCGTGAAGCCTGCCCGAGGCTCATCTCACTGTCTGAATGTAAGCTGGAGACGCGAATTGTCCGCCTTTCCCGTGTCTGACTCCGAAATCAAAGACGGAGAGCTGAATTCTCAAATCGAGTTCACTGTTCAGGGACAGGTGAGCCACTTCCTCAATATCCGCAAACACAGAAAGTGCACACACAGTGGTACCATTTCTCAAAATTAATTTTAAAAAATTCCAGTATTTAAACCCCATGACATCCTTTTTCTCCTTCTTCTGGCTGTGTAATGCACCACTTTGCTTGATACTGAAATGTTTCACGGATATTAAAATGCTCCTCAGCAAGACTGAAGACGTAACAGAACAAGTTAATCCTCACCTTCATTTTATTTCTCCACCCCGTACAGCTCGATGTTCAGGTCGGCAATGTGACGGTGACGGGTTACAGCGTCCTCGTTTGTCTCTTCAGACCCGACACCTCGTACATCCTCCGGCTGCGCCATCGCTATCAGGGCCCTGCCAGTCCGTGGAGTCCGTGGAGCAACGCACTTCAGGGAAGGACAGGAGAGGACGGTGAGCAGAGCTGACAGTTACTACAGTCCTACTTAATGATGAACCCAGTGCTGATTCATAGCAAGATGAGAACAAGATACACAAATGTGATACTCAAAAGTTTTAAAAAAACACAGAAATATCTGGTGCATATGTGTAGTTAAGAGGAGCAGAGCTTTAAGAAGGCCCCTTCTGTAAGAAATACAACTGAAGCTGTTAATGTGGAAGAAAAACAGCAGAAAAGCAGCTCAAAATAACTATTCCTACAATTCAGAATGCAGTTTTACGTAATCCTTTTCCATTCATACATTTTGTTGTGGTTGTAGCAGGCTAAGCCCAGCTACATCCCTCAGCTTCCTCTCTGGGATCCAGATGTGTTCCAAGGTCAAACGGGATCTACAGTCTTCTTAACATGTTCAGGGTCTGCCAGTTGGTTTAATCCCAGTTGAACATATTTGGAATATGTCTTGATCACATGCAGAAACTTCCTCAGCTGTCTCCTTCTGATGGGAAAGGAACTCCTTCTAGCAATTATGACACACTAGGATGAGACATTTCCTGCTGAGAATAAAGAACGAATAAGTTGCGTCTGACTTAGATTTGACCACCATCCCCAGACTCTTTGTGTAGCTTGTACTGCTTCCTGGATTTCCTGTTCTGTAAACATGTCTGGCTCCATCACCGATTAATGCTGAATCTCCTAAACTGTGCCAAAAGGACAGCCCGTGATGGGAATTTAATTTTGAGGAAAAGGAAGAAGTCACTGGGAGTCAAATCTAGCATGCAGACTGAGTGAGACGTGACAATTGTGTTGCTGTTGCCACAAAAAACATTGTATGGGAGGACCCACATGCCGTTGTGCAACAGTGCAGGTAAGTTGCGCTGAGTGTTTGCCCTCAGACACCTCAGGATGATTCAGTAGAAGTCTGCCTTTACAGTCCGACCTCATTAGACTAACTCTCGATGAAGAAAACAACTAATCCTGGTGTGCTTTGTCTGGTTTTGGAAACCGCAGGCTTTTCCACTGCTCTTTCTTCTCTTGATGGTCGCTGCAGACCCACAACTCGTCACCAAAGATGATCCTTGACATGAAGTTTGGATCATCCCTGCTGCTGACTGACACAAAATGTGATCTTTTCTCTCTGATCCAGTTTGGAGTCCATGAAGAAATCGCAAATAGTCAGAAAAACGTGTGTAAAAGCACAATGCCACATGGTCTCCAGGCTTATGACAGTTTGATGATACACTCCACACGGGCACACGACAAATAGTATCCAGAGTTTTGAAGCACTGCTCGTATGAAGCATGAATGGCTAATAGTAGCATCCTATGCTACTACAGTACAGACACACTGATGTGTCCCTTCAGCCACACGTAGACCAGATGGACAAACTGCCGTGATATCTTTGCACTAAAGGAAGACTTGATCTCTGGTCAGGACATGAACTTTGTTGCTCCCTCTGAGTCTTTCCTTTGTTATGCTGTTACTAGCAGTCATTAGAGAGATGACAGAAAACAAAAAAGAGAAAGGGACAGAGAGAATGGCATGACAAATAACAAAAGCATGATTAATATTTGTCCGGGAACTTGGCGGTCCTGTGCCAGTTCCCAGATCCTGTCCCTGACCTCAAGGCACTGTAAAAAAAAAAAAAAAAGCCATGGATGACAGTCGAACAGTACAAAGAATTTCGAAGGAATTATACATCAGCTATAAATAAATTGCTTCCCCTCTTGCGATGTCACATCAGAGATGCAGCTACCACTGGTGTAGAAGACAAACATTCATTATTTGATGGTTTTCACAGCTGGAAGAACACATCACCATATGCTTTCTATGTTCTGGTGTGTCTCCTTTTTATTTATTCCAATTATACTTTAATATCTGTTCCTCCTTCCATCTACCAGCTCCGTCTGCAGCACCAGCGTTCTGGAGACAAGTGAAGCAGACTAACAGAGACGGATGGAGACTCATCTCCCTGCTGTGGAAGGTGTGTGTTCGTGTGTTGAATCGTGTGAGAGTCTGAGTCATGAGTGCAGGTGTAATATTTTCTGACTATCACTTTGAGCTTTAGAGTTTACAGTTTAATAATCTTTGGGATTTGATTAGTTCTTAATCATCATCTCCCCAAATGCTGTCCCCTAATTTGTTTATACGTCTCTCGTGAAATTACTCATTTATTGCATTGCAGTTTGATTCAGGTTGAGAGCAAAACGTAGTCAACCGGAGATCGAAAAAGAGAGAATAAACTCTCCTAAATTGCTGTTTATGTGCAGGATTGTCGGATTAAAACCTCCATCATATCACAGCAACTTACTGTGTTTCTTTCTTTGTGTTTTCAGCCCTTGCCTCACTTCCTGGCCAACGGCAGAGTTCTCTTCTACAACGTGACTTGTCAGACAGACGGCGGTCAGGTTTTGAGCAATCACGGGAGCTGCAGAGATTTACAGCATTCAACTACTTCCTGCAGTTTGCTTCTCCCTGCTGGACGTTGCTCCTGCGCTCTGACGGCCTCCACCTCGGCGGGGACCTCGCCACCAGCCCGAATGTTGCTTCCTGGAGCCTCTGAGAAAGGTAAGGCCTCATGTGTCCACCTCAGCCCTGTGGCCCGACCACCTTCCATTTGACAGGCAGTTTTTTTTAAAGTGGTTAATATTAGTTGGGTTGACCATGTGTAAAATAGGTAGCATTAGTTTTTGAGTTAAAAAT